TAGTAGACAGGGTCTTGCCATGTTGCCCAGGCTGGTCTCAAATTCCTGGGCTCAAGTGATCTGCCTGCCTTGGCCTCCCAAAGTACTGGGATTACAGCCATCAGCCACCACACCCAGCCAGAAAGTTAATTCTTAATTAATAATGTGGGCTAGAAAAGTTTAAGTTCATAAACTGTTTTCAAGAACTTCCACATGCTTAGGAAGTATTGTGAACAAATAAACTATTACTTGCTACTTATAAAGCAATCAAGTAATTGGGGTGGAGGAGATGGTAGACAAAGAAGTATAATACTTCATTTCTGGCCGGGCACAGGGGCTCACACCTGTAATCCCAGCACTTCGGGAGGCGGAGGCGGGTGGATCACCTGAAGGTCAGGAGTTCGATACCAGCCTGGCCAACATGGTGAAACCCTATTTCTACTAAACTTACAAAAATTAGCCAGATATAGTGGCAGGTGCCTGTAATCCCAGCTACTTGGGAGGCTGAGGCAGGAGAATCGCTTGAACCCAGGAGGCGGAGGTTGCAGTGAGCCAAGGTCATACCACTGCACTCAGCCCAGGGAACAAGTGCGAAACTCCATCTCAGAAAAGAAAAAAAAATACTCGATTTCTGCTGTCCAGGAGTTTAATCCCTAGCTGAGAAAAAAAAATTAACCCTCTTGAAATGACAGGTGACAATAAGAAGGAGTATTTTATTCATGGTTGGTCTCCTGCCTGTATCCAAAAATGATCTGAAGGTGTCTGAAACTGTCCATAGGATGTGCTCAATAACGTGATTGAATATAAGTTCTACTCACTTTCTATTAAGCAATACTTTGTTAGCCAAGTTTTAGAAACTCTATACATTTAAAATGAAATCTTTAAAGTTTATAATTCACATTTTTAAACAAGGTAGAATTCTCTCCTCTAATTAGTACCATCTTGTCACATTTCACTGTCATTGTTTCATTAGTAATGCTTTGCCCACTTATCAAAAGTACATTACGAAAATTAGCTGTGCATGCTGGTATGCACACCTGTAGTCCCAGCTACTGGGGAGGCTGAGGTGGGAGGATCACCTGAGCCAAGGAGATGGAGGCTACAGTGACTGTGATGGTACCACTGCACTCCAGCCTAAGCAACAGAGTGACACCCCGTCTCAAAAGAAAAAGAAAAAGAAAAGAAAGATAGACGTTATATGTTCCTAACTGTCCTAATTGTTGAAACTGGCTGATGGGTACATGCGTGAAGTTTGTCATACTCTTCTGTCTCCTTCTGTATACATTTGACAGTTTCCTTGCATCATAAAAACATTTAACTTTTTGTTAAATGCTTACTTGTGGACCAGGAGCGGTGGCTCATGCCTGTATTCCCAGCACTTTGGGAGGCCGAGGCAGATCACGAGGTTAGGAGTTCAAGACGAGCCCGGCCAACATAGTGAAACCCTGTCTCTACTAAAAATACAAAAAATTAGCCAGGCATAATGGCAGGTCCCTGTAATTCCAGCTACTCCAGAGGCTGAGGCAGGAGAATCCCTTGAACCTGGGAGGCTGAGATTGCAGTGAGCAGAGATTGCACCAGCCTGGGCAACCGTGCGAGACTCCCTCTCAAAAAAAAAGTTTATTTGTGAAAGAAAAATATAATGATTATAAATCTGTCTTACCAGCAAGCCCCAAGATAATCAAAAGAGTAGAAAACATCCAAGAGAGTTAAAGCAAAAAAGTTTATGCTTAAGGCAGACAAAAACCAAAACAAAACAAAACCACAAAAATCATGGGAAACACTTAGTGTCTAAAATTAAAATAAAATTGAGAATAAGAGAAATACATAAGTTTTAAATTTCAAACCAAGGGTAGAAAAACATCTATTTTCTGAAAAAGCTAGAAGTATTTATGCAAACAGTAAAAATCAATCAATCCATTAATAAGAAATAAATAAAAACTATGTATGTATTCCTGATACTACATAATCCATTGAGGGCTATTTGTAATTCTCATAAAAATATTTCTATTTTCCAGGTGCAGTGGCTCACGTCTGTAATCCCAGCACTTTGGGAGGCCAAAGAGGGCAGATCACGAGGTCAGGAGATCGAGACCACCCTGGCTAACATGGTGAAACCTAGTCTTTACTAAAAGTACAAAAAATTAGCCGGGTGTGGTGGCAGGCGCCTGTAGTCCCAGCTACTTGGGAGGCTGAGGCAGCAGAATCACTTGAACCTGGGAGATGGAAGTTGCAGTGAGCTGAGATCACACCACTGCACTCCAGCCTGGGCAACAGAGCAAGACTCTGTCTCAAAAA